AATTTGACCGTCAATGTCAGCGATTGCTGAACTTCGGTGTCTCGAATATCATATCCGTGGGTGTTCTGATACAGTTCAAGTATACACCCAGATTCTGTTAACTAAAGAATGGGGGAGCGTGGACGGAATTTGACAGTCAATGTCAGCGATTGCTGAACTTCGATGTCTCGAATATCATATCCGTGGCTGTTCTGATACAGTTCAAGCATACACCCAGATTCTGTGAACTAAAGAATGGGGGAGCGTGGACGGAATTTGACCGTCAATGTCGACGGTTGCTGAACTTCGGTGTCTCGAATATCATATCCATGGCTATTCCCATACAGTTCAAGTATACACCCAGATTCTGTGAACTATAGAATGGGGGAACGTGGACGGAATTTGACCGTCAATGTCAGCGATTGCTGAACTTCGGTGTCTCGAATATCATATCCGTGGGTTTTCGGGTTCTTGGACAGTGGAAGAACGCGAAGCTAATTTTTGTCGGTCCGCCTTCGGCGGACAACGACCACCGTGACGGCGCTTAGTCACACTTCGCAAAGCGGACTTCGCATACCATGCGAGTTGCCTCTTCGAGGCTCGACGGGACTCGACCGAGGCTCGCAGGGAAGTAAGAAATTGTGAAACTCGACCGAGCTCGACCGAAAACGAGTCGAGCTTCGAGGCTCGGCCGAGCCGAGCCTCGACTTTGAGCTATGTCTGCACCAATATCCTCCCCGGGGTAGGTATTTTCCTACCATTCAGGGGGAAACTCTCTATGGAACCCTCTTTAGAGTTCCAGTATAGGGGTCTGACTTCATAAGTGTGTTGAAAGAGTTGCTTCAACCGCAGCATATGAATCAGCACATCTTGCCCACGACCTTCTAATACCCATCCAGCTTCAGAGTCACCGAAGAGGACCACAGAACCAGAAGGTAATACAGACCGTTTGGGAGGGCTAGTCGAATCAATTGAATGTATCAACTTCAGCACATTCGACAGTGAGTCAACTACGTCCTTACCGTCCATGTCTACAGTAACCTTAACACCCTGGATGGCCTTCACTCGATAGGGACCTTTCCAACCCACGTCTAATTTATGTTTACGGGGCTTGGATAAAAATACCAAATCACCAACTGCTAGAGGTGAGACAACAGTCTTGGAAGCACGAGATTGCTGTTCTACCCTCGAACGCTCTCTTAAATTCTCCCAGACATGTTGAAATTCCTCACGCAGTTTTCCACGCTGGAGCTTGCGCTGTTCAGAGGCTACTTCCAATGTCGGTGGCTTGGGTAACTCAGTAACAGGCAGAGAACATAGACCATCACACAACTTCTCTAGTGTGGACACAGTTGGATACCGTGGAGGTCGAGCCATCATTAGTTCGAAGGGAGTCATACCAGAGTCCAAGTTAGACCCATCTCTCAACTTCCGAGAGTTTAGCACCCACAGAATATCTGGCAGTAGATCATACCAATTAGCCGACGAACCTTGATGTGAACGTTCAAGCTCTAACAGGCAACTTCGCAGTGCTCTATGCAAGACTTGATGAGGACGTTCATACCCTCCTCCTAAATGAGGACTGTACCGAGGAATTAGTTTATGACAAATACCCACTTTAGTACAGTACTCAGAGAATACTTTGCTTACAAATTGCTTACCGTTGTCCGTTATTACTATATACGGTGCACCAAGCAATTTGCAAATGTCCATGAACGCAGAAGTAACACTCTGAGCAGCCATATCTTTCAGAGGTCTTACGCTCATGAACCGACTATATAAGCAAGTCATCGTTAACAAATATTTATAACCAGTAGAGCTCTCAGGATAAGGTCCAGTTATATCAGCACCCACTAAATACCAAGGGCTAGGAATCACTTTTCGTAACCCAGGGTTCAAAGCAAACTTAGCTTTTCCTTTTACCAACCGACATATATCACAACTCTTCACATAATTTCTGACCTGTCTGCTCATACCCTTCCACCAGTAGTGACTTAATAAGGATTGTACAGTAGCAGACACACCAGCATGAGCTCGAGCTTTGTGATAACGTTGAACTAAGGCAGTAGTCAGGAGGTCACCTTTTGGTAACACCAATTGTTTGTAGAGGTTACCCTGAGCATCTTGTCTGACTTGTCTATATAGTAACTCAGACTTCTTATCCAATACATACTGACTACTCCACAGTCGTTTAACACGAATGTCAACCACTTGAGATTGATCATCCCGCAACCGTGAAATTATCTTCAGTAACCGAGGGTCAGATTGCTGAGCTAGTTTAACTCTGCTAACCCAAGCCTGCTCATCAGTTACATCTTCAGGGTTTCCACCACATGCCCTGGCTCTCCACGATCTCAACCTTATCAACAGATTCTTGTGCTTCCTTAGGAGCTCGTCAACTGAGATAGCCATAGTCACCTTGGTAGACGCCTTCTGAAGCTTAATTGTCTTCGACCCAGCTACTGGAAACTCTGGTTTCTCTACCCTGTTTTCAGCAGCAAGATACTCATCATGAGTAAAGTCAACCGAGAGACCCCATGGAGCTTCTCGACTGAAATCACCAGCCAACCACCAATTAGCAGTACTTGCAACTTGTTCGTTGCTTGTACTGTTAGGATAATACCCACGTGAAATAGCATCAGCTGCGTTCCACGCAGTATCAACATGTCGAAGAGCCACATCTGTATTTAACAGAAATCCACGCAGTGAATCAATTGTTTTTCGTTCCCAGGCCTTCATGTCCTTAGACTGAAGATCCTTATGGAGACGATAACAATTTATCTGTGAATCAGATAATGATAAGGCTCTACACCCAGATTTCTCCT